GAATTACGAGCGAAGCGAAAAAAGAGAAATTCTTCTTGTTATTCTTGAAAGAAGGCTACGCCAACTCTCCCTCCCTGTTCTACCTTCACAAGCGCGGAGAAGAAGAAATATAGCGGAAAACAAGAAAGGAGCCGCGGTAATGCAGTAGCGGCTTGTGCGTAGTCACCGCAACGCTGAATGCACCGCATTGCCGTTGTTAACTGCGGCCGTGTAAGTGTAGTTAGGGCGCGGGTGAGCGCGTGCCCAGCGCTGCCGCTGACTGCCCATGGTGCCGGTTATTGGCGCTGTTAGTGCTAGCAGTGACAGCTGCGGTGGTGGAACGTGCCCAACTCAGCGCGTGTCTACGCCGCCCTGTCGCGAACGGCCCGTGCGCAGCGTGAAGAAGCCACGCCAACAGCGTGCAGCAGAGACACACAAAAAAGAAGGAAACATCTCCATGGGAGCGGCACCAATGTGCCTTCGTGGCCCGCGGGCGATGCGTGCAGGCGTTTTTACTCACCTCCGGGGTCTTCCCTCCACTAACCCGCTTTTGTTTCCCCACCCGCCGCCAAAGAGACAAGAGCGAAGAAACGAGAAAAAAAAAGGAAAGCCACATTTTTATTGCGGCACCCACCCTATTTTTCCCCGGCAAGGTCAGCTTTGCCGTGTAAAGCAGTGCATTTTTTCCAAGTCGTGCTTCGATGCAGGCGGGGATGGAGCCTTTGCAGCCGCCGGCTTACACGGCACAGATTGCTACCCGCCCCGAGCTCACCTGCGCCGCCTCCAAAGGTGAATACAGCGTTGCGCTCCACATTGTGGCAATTTTTGCTGTTTTGATTGCGTCTCTTCTGGGGACGATGCTTCCGCTGGCAGGCAAGTACGTCTCCTGCCTTCGACTGCATCCTTTCGCCGTCGCCATTGGTAAGTGCATCTCCTCAGGGGTGGTGATGGCCGTTGCCATGGTGCACATGATGAACCATGGCGTTGCTGGGTTCATGAAGGACTGCGTGTCGTCTTCTTTGCGTCAGTCGTTTGACGCACTTTCACTTTCGCTTGCGATGCTTGCAGCAATGTTTATGCATATACTGGATGTGCTAATGGATTTTATGCTTGAGAGTTGGGCAAATGGGAGCACCGGCGAGCCTCCCTCCCACTTGGTGGGATCGGAACTGCCTGGTGCAGAGGCGGCGCCATGTGGACAGGAGGTTTTGGGTGCCGGATGCCACAACCATGGGGTTCTTGCCGCTGCGCGCCTCAAAAACGTGAAAAGTATTGTCGCAGCGATATTTATGGAGTTTGGTTTGGTCTTGCACAGTGTGTTTTTGGGCCTATCCGTGGGGGTCGCACACGACGCCGAGACGCGTGCATTGCTTGTGGCGCTGGTCTTCCATCAGATATTCGAGGGCCTTGCACTGGGCGTACGACTGGCGGACGCGTCCATGAACTTCAAACTGGAGCTGCTGATGACGATTATCTACGCCGTTTCTGTACCTCTGGGCACCGCGGTTGGGCTCGTCATCGTGACGACCTCCAATATCTCTATGACAGGCACAAACTTTATCACGCTGCAGGCAGCACTTGACTCGGTGTGCGGCGGCATCCTGCTCTACCTGGGCTTTACGCTCATCCTCAACGATTTCCGGGCAGACCTGCGGGAGCTTGCAGGGCAGGATGCAGCGCACCGTGGCTGGAAACGGCTTGGAATGTGCGTGGCGCTCTGGGGAGGAGCAGCCGTCATGACGCTCCTTGGAAAGTGGGCATGATTCCACACAACTCCACCTCCCCCCTTCCCCTCGCATCCTCTCGCATAACAGCAGCGGCAACAAAACTATGATAACAACAACTATGATAACAACAGCTGTGATAACAACAACTCACCAATTTGGGTGGAACAAACGGAACTGACGTGAAGGTGTGGGCGCGTGTGTGAATTTGGAACCTGATGCCAACGATATACATATATATATATATATATATATATATTCTGCTTCCGAGGTTGGGGGAAGGACGAGAGGCAGAAGTGGAGCAATGACGAAGAAGTGACGGCGCGTGGGCGAACTTCGACCATTCAAGGCCCCTGGCTTTCTCTCGAGTCGCCGTGTTGCTGCGTGCTGTGCGGTTGTTGGCGGTGGCAGGGTCCCTCGCGAGCACGCGCGTGCTGCTGCCGCCACCACTTTTCCTCTTCGTGTCTCCNTGGTCTC